ACAGAAACGGATGATGAAAATGCATGGACACAACTAGAAATACCACCCCTTTGCAGCCATTGCCTGCATTTAGGTCAGTTTAGAGCAAATGCAAAAACTCCAGTTAAAGCCTAGAGAAGTCCCAATGTCTTCCAACAGCTCTCCAGGAAGCCTGCACCAAGACACATGCTTGTCCAGTTCCAGTCTACTGCCTCAACCATATCACATCAGTGTCCTAAGTCCCCACTGTAAACACACGTTATAGATTATATCGTCATTTATTATTAACAAATTTAGAATGACTATAGCACTGTGTAAGCCAAAACACACTAAAAGCCTGATCTGAGAAATCAGATTTTTTAAGACAGACAAGGCAAGACACAAAGGAAGATCCAGAGGAAGGGGAAGTCATGGGGGTTTTTTGTTCTTTTAACCATATGCATTCCTACCATTCAAATAACTGGATGTGTTAGGGTCTCATGTGCTCTCATGTGCTTTCTTCAAGACTTAAGATTTAATTATTTTAAAATAATACTTTAAGTCACTTAAAAGCACATAGGATATTTAACTGTTAGGGAACTATCATAACATACATTGCACAACAGAAATGTTAACTCAAACCCTTCTCTACAGACAAGCAAAAGCATTGAAACAAGAAAAGCATATAGTATACTTTTACAGACCTACGCTAAATTAAAAACAGTAATGCTGAGGTAAGATAGGTGAACTCTCAAAGAAAAGAACAGAAACTGATGAGACAATTCCATCTGTTAGAGAGAAGAAATGAAACAGTGACTACCCAGAATAACATCTGACCGCCAGAACCGTTTTTTCTTTTTCCCCTCTCCTCAACTTCCGGCACAAAAGGCATAGAGGAAACCATTTTCTCAATGACTGGAAAACTGGTCTTAATCAGACAGCGATGCTCAACATGACACCTTCCTTCGTTCTTGCAGCTTTACACAGCAATAATTCTCACTTCAATCTTGAGTTCTAATGCAATATGCTGAGAATAAAAACTGGGAAATAGTAGATTGTTATAAGACACATCAGGAATAAAAGGTTATTACAAACAGATTAGCCCAGCATGGAAATGACAGAGGCTAAGCAGGAGGCATGGATAATCTGGGTAAGTGCCATGGAAAAATAAATATCATGATTGGACTTAAGGCAAATGGAAGCAGTTCAAATTGGCTTCCTCCAACTCACTGCAGAACATGTGATGCCCACATGTCCATTTCCAACAAACCTCACCATAAAGAAACAAAGGCCAATACTGTGAAGTGCTGAAAAATGCATCTACCACCAGCTTCTTCCATACCAATACAATATGAACTATTGCAGCTGCCTGATAAGCATGAAAGATAAGAGTTTGGGAGATTTTTAGTGGCTTCTTTTTTTATGATTATTTTTATTTGTTTGGAAGAGAGCTACCAGCATTTATCCGAAGCACACCATCTTGTCAGTAAAGGCAGTAACTCCACTCAACCCACTTCCCCTGTCCATCTACACGCTCCTACAACTTCTCCGGCTCAGTTCCAGCAGGTTTCTGTCAGGTTAACTTCTCAGAACATCAGTTCCTTTACCCAGTTCCATGTGAGGCCACAAAAATTATAGTGTTCGCTTAACAGAAAGGTCAGGAGTTCCTGGCTAAGAATAAGCTGCCTCTGTAACCAGCAGCCCACACTTAAATTGGCTTAAATTGATCATAAAAATTCTAGCAGTAAGTGATCATGTCATTGCATGAATATAAGGAAAATGTGTGGTAAGGGTAGGGCTAGAGAAAGGATCTCAAAAAACAGCCATTCTTAAGATTAGCTTTGTGGCAAAGTGTTGTTAATCTACTTGTTAACAAAGCTAAATATCAGCAGTAGGTGGATTACGATCAAGTAAAAACTTCGCAGCTTAAAGGATATTCCACCAGAAATAACTCTTCTACATGACAAATTTGAGATCACAGCTGGATTAGCAAGCACAGAAGATATTTCAAAAGCACATTACCAATTTTTACCAAAAAGCAAAATCACAACTAATGCAATATAGTGCCAACCTTTATGCTTCCACCATAGATAAAAAAAGCAATTTTGAAACAAAAAGAAATAATAAAGACAAATACTGAATGTAGTATAGAGACTGAACTAAACAGTTAATGGTTTGAATTAAATTCAGACATCAGTAGGACATAAAAACTTCTTCAGAACAGGACAGCATACATGCTGCAGTCAATGGGGGACACGGGAACATAGCTGTCAAAGCATAACACTGAAGCTTCAGACTAGGAGCTTGAGTCTTGCTCTAGAACCACACTGAAGCCCTCTTTAATTAGCTCCACTATAAATTCATAACTGCTCATCCCAGCAAAGAAACCAAAGGCAGATGCAAACACTGTTAGCCACATAAACCCTGGCTGCTGCACTAACTACTGCAATCAACGGGCTTTCAGCCCGCTGGATATATTAGGTTATCTAGGTTTGAGTGATTTTTGACTTATCAGCAAATTCCTTGCTATTCCTAGTGGCTGTATCACCACATTTTACAGCAACCTTGAGGACATCTGTATTTTTCCTTCTTTTTAAACTACTTGAAAACATTCCTACTTTGATGAAGACTCAGAGAAAACACAGAACTTTCAATTTTCATCATTAGTAAATGTACAAAAGGACTCTGACACTGAATATGTGAGGCACTCCATAATTCTTACGTGAATAAAGTATTAGACTCATGGGTTGGCAAATGATCTTGACCTTTGAGCCTCAAACCAAGTATGATAACTGCAGGTTCTGTTGAACTTAGATTTGCAGCAGATACCAGTGAAATACCACTGATGACACTTACGCAGTCAAGTATACTAAAACAGGAGTACTCAAACAGAAAAAACCTGCTGTTTCCCCCCCACCCCATGAAATTCCATTTTGCACCACCACCACCACCACTTCTCATTCTTTCCCAGCTGAAACGAACACCATTTTTCGGAATAGCTAGAGTGTGGTTAAGCAGAGGAAGCTATGCTTGTTTGCATGGAATCTGCTATTTCTTCTCTGCCAAAACACTTGTTTAAAGAAGTCCTGTAATATTTCTATTAAGCTGTAAATGCAGTTGACAAGGAAATGGCCTACTGGCACTGCATTACCTTTGTGGCAGTGCCAACCAGCCTACAGCAAAATAGCGTACATGGTAATTTCAACATGCATTCCCAAGTAACAAAATTGTGCCTTACATAAATACCACAGAACTCCAGCAACATCTAGAAAAAGCAATGAAAATTTGCCCAAGCTTTCATGCTTGCCTGTATCAATTCTGTGTCATAAGTAAAACAAAGTAGGAAAGCATCTACATATGTCCAAAAGTCCTGTGAAGTTGTATCAAATGACACTGGGAAAACTATTGCAACTTAAATCTGTGTATTTCTTGTTAACCACTGTAACAACTCACTAATAAAAATTAAGAAAACCTGTAGGTATCAAATACACAAAAGAGTAGTAACTGCTTACAAGCCCTTAAAAACCATAACGTAATTTATTAACAAGAACACATGTTCTATATGATCTAGAATTGTTCTGTTGAATTACTTTGCCCTTTGATAGCATTCATTTGATTACAAGAATTAAATGGATTCACAAACTTTCAAACTCAGTGACCTTTGATTTATAAGCAGCTATTATCAGAGAGGATTTTTATATGCATGACAATGTAGTCCTTACACCTTTCAACAGCTAGTGCAACTACATATAGTGCTGTTAAAATGAACTCAGATGTAATTAACATTTTCATTAAAAGTACAACCAAAAACCTCAGCGTGGTCAAGTATTTACTTTTTAATTAACAACTCTTCAAAATGTTTTTTTAATGTTATTTCATCTTACACTAAATTCCCACCAAAAACAAGCTTCAGAGATACTTATTTTGTTCTCAGCTTTCTTCTAAGTATTTTGAGTTTGAAAAGTAATTTAAAAATAGTTAATTACACAGAAAAAAATAGGGTGCAGGAAAATTATGCGATGTTTCTAATTGCAAAACACTCACTAGCTTTAACTGAGCTGCACATTGACATAAAACTTCAGGAAACATCTCTGCTCCAAAAAGCACACACAAACAAAAATCAAGAACGCCACAGCACTACATACATTTCAACTCCTGTATGCATCACCTTACAGTAATCATGGATGTACAGTACCTTCTCTTCCAATAGTAGTGACTTCCTTATATTAAGATCCTGACATAGGAGGCACCAGAAAAAGAAAACTGAATAAAATCATCTAGTATGCATGCCATTTTTGCTGCAAATCACAAAGATGCAAAAGTCTGCTTTTAGCAATATAAAGTGCCTCATTAATACCAAATGGGCTTTAGATAGAAACACTTCAAGAACGGAGTTTTTATTGATGCTCACTGCAATCACTGTAGCTGTGCTATAGCTCATTTCAAAAAAATAAAAGTATGACTAACAGTGGCAACTATTATTCCTAGATAAACATTGTTCCCTAAAAAATTCCCCACGTAATTTCTTTATAACTGCTACGTCTCATGAAGTGACTAATGCTATTTAAATTTTATTTCGCAAAAAGTAAGTTAATTCAGTAACAGACTTGAAGAGTCAGTAATAAATAAAAACTGTCACGGTTTACTAATATTAACAGTGTTTCCATAGGACAATTCTGAATCCTTCTTTAGTTCATCTTTACTTCAAAACTCCCTTTCAAAGGAGGACATCTTGGTTACGGAACTCCAAGTGCAGGTACAGTATGAAATAGGCCCTATATATTGCCTTCAAGTCAATTAAACATTTGTTGCTTTAGTTCTCTCTAAAGTAGAGACAAAAGCATTCTGAAACCTCACAGATATGTTAAAACTTAAGCAAACTGCAGTAAACAGGAAGCAAGACAGCAAGTAAAAACTCTTAAAATCTTTGTCTATAAACACACAGTTTTACGATCACAGCACTAGTTTTTTGAGTTTGAGGTTTGGGGGTTTTTTGTGTTTTAAAACAGCACAAAACAAAAACCACGACCACGCACACTTACCCTCATTGGATGTATATCAGCATATGGTGGCTTTCCTTCAGCCATTTCTATTGAAGTGATACCAAGGGACCAGATGTCTGCCACACAATTATAGCCAATCTCTTGTATTACTTCAGGAGCCATCCAAAACGGAGTTCCTATAACAGTATTACGTTTTGCCATTGTATCCTGTAATTATATTATTTATGCAATTAAAACAGAGATGTTCGTTTTTAGATTCTTTCGATATTAATTCTGTATTTAAAAGTGAAACTAGCCACCCAAAGGTCAAATGCTAGTGACTTCCAATTAAGACCAAACAGATCCAGCCCACCAGCCTACAGAGGCCAAACAGGTGACAATGATCATAAACCTCAAACAAAAGTTCAAAGTGGGATCATCAGGCACTTGAAGTACACTGGGTTATAAAACTAAACAACTAAAACCCAAATAGCCTTGTAATAAATTAAATACTCGTCATGATAAAGACTGTTAGCTCTACCACTAGTCACTCCTCAGACACAAAACTCAAGGCAGCAGAAAAAGACAAAAGAACATGGTTAGACACACTAAAGTATTTTTAAATTATCTTTCCACAGGTACTTACCGTTAACTGGCCAGCCACACCAAAATCAGCTAATTTTGCATGGCCCTCAGTATTAAGAAGGATGTTTCCAGCCTTTATATCTCGATGTATTTTTCTCATAAAGTGCAAGTATTCAAGTCCTTTAAGAGTAGATTTCAGAATAGTTGCAATTTCATCTTCCGTTAGCTGCAAAAAACCATAAAGCCATTTTCAGGCATACACACAAAGTCTACATATTCAAAGTACTTAAAACATGATCATCTCATAGTGATTATTATAAATAATACAGACAATGTACCTTAGGTATTTTAACACAGGAATATGCCCAATAGCATTTACAATTCAAAACTCTGATCTACTAACTTAATACACAAAGCTAGATTCTTACATGTCTAAAGTCCAGTTAGAGCAAGTGAGCTGCAAAACTACAGAAGGAGCTGACTGATGCAGATCAGATGGCAGAATATGCAATATTCTCTTGCCTGTCAATCAAGTTACTACTCTTTCGATGTTGACATCCTTCATACAAACTGCCACGCAGTTTCTACAATATACAACTAACACCTTTGTCACTAAGATCGTACATATTAATTGTCAAGTTACGCATTACCTTTGTCAAAACAAAGGTAATGGTGGTCACCACTAGACTAGACGGCACATACCAGAATAATTCCCTGGAAAAAGAGATAGCCCTTCCTCTGCTGTGGAAGGCTAGAGCTATTCCTTAAACCTCCACGCCCTTAAGTTCTTTACACAGCTTGTCCAACAAACTAGCACAGTTCTACATTTGGAAAGAGATGAAAGGAATGCTGTTTTCTTTATTTCTCAAATTCCTACACATGAAATACCCGCTAAGTCTACAACTAGCAGTACCAAGCTTTTGTCCACCAGCTATTCCTAACTGCACTGCTACTAGTTTCTTATTGCTGGCAATTTACAAATTAGAGAGGATGAATTAGGAGCTTCTTCCCAAGAACAAAAAAACACAAAACAAAAAACAAACAATAAAGGTGTACAGCAAATAGCCAAATAATCATTTATCACAAAGCTTGTGAAAAATATATTCGTCAGGGATATCTTGCTACTTATTGTCTGAGGGAGATAATACAGGATGCAGAAATACAAACACCCCAACAGTTCCCAACTAGTTCACAGAATTCCACTGCAGTCTGTCAAGTAAGCCATTTATTTTAAGGCTAGTGCCTTCATTTTCTATGGAATGTAAATAAATGCTAATTATTGAAAATTAGTATTTCTCACTCTGCCTGTGCTCTGTACTGACACTAAGCTGTAGAACTACACCCATACAGATGTGCCCCAATGACTGTCCCAAAACCCTACTTGGCCCTGAAAAAGGGCAACTAAGGTTACATTTATGGTGGTACTTTCATGATGGAAGGTGCCAATAACTATTATCACCCGTTCCTTTGAACTGTAGACAATAACAACAATAATTGCGAATGGATGCCAACCAGATGCTATGGGCTTTTTCTTACACCATTCTTCTTTTCTTGCTGCTGGCTGATGCAGAGAATGAACACTCATTGAACTTTTGCGTTTTTCTTGAATTACCAGCATTATACAACAATTGCTAGATATTATCCTCACAGGAAAATATAATCTGATTGAATATACGGCTCTTCATTGTCAGCCACAAATACTGTAATTTTTAAAATATTTACCAACAACGTTAATTAGTTTGCTGTCTATGCAAAGGTTTCCTGATAGTTTTTAAGTGTAGATAATCCACGTAAGCTATGCTATAATACATCATGTTACTATCGCACTATAAAGTTGTACAACTGAACTAATAGAAATCTAAGCACAGCTGGCCCTGAATATATTTTTAAAGACAAGTTAGATTTTAGTAAGCACAACTATCACTATGTGAAGATAATGCAACATGTCAGCCCATGACTTTCAAAGTAGTTGCAGCCTCTTAATGTCTTCTGGTCTCTAAAAAACACATCATTTACCAGTGCATAATACTATCTTCTACAGCCCTGCTGAACTTTTACCAGGTTTCTTTTGTTCTTTAATAACAGCACAGCCTCCAGTGACTTCTGAGAATTAAGGTAGAAGAGTTGAGGTTCTTTAGAACTTTAGAGTTCCTAAAGTCAACAATACATTTTGCAAAGTTATACCCAGCTCTCTTTCATATCATGTTTGCTGTTTTTCAGTCAGGATGAGCAGAAAAGTACTCTCAAATGAGTCAAGTAACTGACTACAAACCAAGAAACAAAATTGAAAGTTTGAAGAGTACGGAAAAAAAAAATTTGCAACAGGGATATTTACCGAACTCTGTAAAAGCATCACAAAGGAAACACTAAGAGCACTTCTCCTATGAAGACAGGCTGAGAGAGTGGGGGCTGTTCAGCCTGGAGAAGAGAAGGCTCCGGGGAGACCTTACAGCAGCCTTCCAGTGCCTGAAGGGGCCTCCAAGAAAGCTGGAGAGGGACTTTTTACAAGGGCATGCAGAGACAGAACAAGCAGTAATGCGTTTAAACTGATGGAGGTAGATTATGATTAGATATTAGGAAGAAATTCTTCACCATGAGGGTGGTGAAACACTGGAACAGGTTGCCCAGAGAAGCTGTGGATGCCCCTGCTTGGAAGTGTTTAAGGCCAGGCTGAATGGGGCTTTGAGCTGGTCTAGGGGAAGGGGTCCCTGTCTATGGTGGGAGGTTGGAACGAGATGATCTTTACGGTCCCTTCCAACCCAAACCACTGTATAACTAATTCCATGATAACCCTTTTACTTGTCCTTTTCCTCTTTTAAGCAGACCAGACAAAGTGCAATTTTAAAGCTTTAAAAAAAAAAAAAAAAAAAAACCACCAAACCACCACTATTTAACACCTGTTATAAATATAGAGGTGGTGTAGATAAGGTAGCCCAAAACACTTTTCTTATTTACTACTTCAATATGTTACAGAATTCATATACTATCACAAACAATACAATAAGCTGCAAGTATTGACTGACAAGCTGACAGACATTTCATTACCAAAAAAAATATAATACAGTGAAAAAAAAAACCTTGAGATATACTTCATTTATCTGCTTCATAAACTACATGGACTACTGAGTAAGTTATCAGAAAGACAGCTGTTTGTCTTTATTGCTTTAGATGAACGTAGTAAGAACACATAAGCTCCTGAACAAGCGTTATCTGAGAAACAGTAAGAGTGAATCTTTCAGAGGTACCATACCCCCTGAGAACATTTCTCAGATTTTGATCAACACTTATTCCAGCATAAAAGAAAACAAACACATACACAATTCATCCCATGTGATGCAATTTCACAAGGAAATACAAAGAAACTACTCCTGCAACTGAAATGCTGTTCAATTACCGTACATCAATGCTTTAATATAAGAACTAAGAACTGCAAAACTGAAGATGAATACTCTAACTTGGCTGCAATACTGGGTTGCATTTCTCCCCTCTTTCTCTACTTTTCCAATCCTATACAGAAATTAAACTAAGCAATAGCAATTCCTTCCAGTTTCTGTTTTGGAAGTGTTGGTACACATTTGCACCTCTCTCTCAAAAAAAAAAAAAAAAAAAAGAAAAAAACAAACCACCACAAAAAGCCCGCAAGAAATAAAAAACCCACTCATAACTATTCTAAGCCAACAGAATGATTCAAGAGAAAGGAAAAAATTATTAGTCAGCAAGATTATCTGCAATTGAGTTGCTCATAACAAGTTTTAATTATTTAACAAACAGAACCACTTCCCTATTCCAGCATCTATCCAGTCTCATAAAACCTGGGCGTGGAGCCCAAGGGCACAGTTACACATACATTTATTTAAACAGCAGTGCCAAGCTCCAGTCCCTCCTTTCACTGCAACCTACAGCAGTAATTCCCACTGTGTGTCAGCCCTTCCACTGAACTGATCCTAGCTAAAAATAAACCTGTCTGCCAAATTATTTTTCCAACAAATCAGTTCCCCAATTCAATTCCTGGCATAGTCAATCAGGATGTAGCAGAGTAGGAGCTGCTCAAAGTGGTGTTGTGTTCCAAATAAGTACAGGTGTTGCTACACTCCAAGAGTCCCAGTAACTTTTATAAACCTTCCCCTATGCAAGCAGAGAATTAAATTGATGGTGGCAGTAGCTCCATGCTCCACAGCAAGCAGTCATCGCCTCTGCTCCACATTATGCATTCCTTGCCTATCATTTATCTCCGAGATCGTTCAGTGTTTCTGTTCAGTGGTGCACTGCTCAAAGCCTTTATTTGTGATGCTTTATACCAACTCTACACTGCTTCAAAGGATTGTATGCCAGGAGAACTGAAAACCCTGTTATACACAGCTCAAACAAAACGGCTTTCCTGGCTTTGCACCAAGGGAGTAAAACCATCTACCTGATCTGGAGTCAAGAAAGAAGGGACTTGAAATCAACTGTAAGATAAACTGAAGTATGGTCAGAAGGATATCTGGAGAAAGAAACAATCCTCATTTGTGAGCTAATAAGTTTGTGGTGAAGTACACTAAAACAGTACAGGCAATTTAAGCTCTGGCTATTAACAAATAGTGTATTATGAATGGTTTATGACATGCTGAGTGTAACACTTTCTGCCAGAGCTTTGCCAAATCCACTCCAGTTCAGAAACAATACAATGCCCTGAATCTCCAAAGACTTCCATGCAGCTAGTCCCGAACTTGCATCAAAAAACGACCTCAAGCACTGACAAACATATAGCAAGACAGACATACAACTTACTGCCCACTTTCATCTAAAAACAAGTATTATGAGAACAGTGCTTAGAAGGCTCAGCAGAGAAGGTCTCTCTTCAGTATGTTGTGTTCCTAAGGAGATAAATCCCTAGCTTTAGCTCTTGAAAATTTAGCAGTTAAACCACATGGAGATCTTTGGATCAGCTCTAGATGGAGAAGTGCTTTTGCCACTGCATGGCAAAATCCAGCTCTCAAAAGGAGAGGGTAGCGGAACAACCATACCAAAAGGCTGACAAAGAAACTAAGGACTGAGAATCCAGCAAACCAGAACAAAGTGAGTTCTTGAGTACTGCAGCCTGATACACCAAGAACCATCAGTAAAGGAAAGCTCTAGCACAGTTATATGTTACAAAAGTAAGAAGCATTGAAATAACATCAAAATACATACAGTGGTCAGAAAAGCCCGCAGAAGTGAATGCCACCCATAAGAAGGAAGCAGATAACATGTCATGTCTATCAGGAACAGCAGTAATAGGGAAGCACAGGGAAAAAGAAGGGAGAACAGGCTTAGTCTACCACAAATGTTCCAAGACACATCAACCCTAACTCCAGATGTCCTAGAGCCACCCACTTGTGCTTCATAAAATGTGTGTGTGTATATATATACACACACACATATAATCACCATCTATAGAATGTGACGCAGTCACTAAAGGCATTC